GACATCTCACCACTCCGAAGCTGTAAACGTCCAGTTTGGGTCCCAGCTCTCCGCCTCTCACGTATTCCTCCGGCAGATAAGCCAGCGTTCCTCTCACTGTTGTCGTTTTACCCACGGATGTCGTGCTAGCTGCCGAGGTGCCGGTGGGTACAAACCGAGCCAGACCGAAGTCTGAAAGCTTCGCGGTCATGTGACTGTCCAACAAAATGTTGGAGCTGGAGAGAAACAGATAAACAAAAGGAGTTCAGGTTAACACACCAGGTGAAAGCAGAGGCTGTTTTTGCCAGTGCGTTGCCATAGTGCAAATACTCGCACTAACAGACTTTAAAAAAACAAAACCAAAAAACCAACAGATGACTTTTTGACATCACTCAGCCTTATAACCAGGTGGACCACATCAACTGTGATAAATGAGTAAATGTGGCGGTAAATACACTTCATGCAAATCATTTCATTACTTCTTCAACGGAAACTTCGTCTTGATGTTTTTTTCCTGTGACCTTTGTATGAACTGTGAAATGAAGGCATGAATTTCAACTGAAACTTTACCCGACGGTCTGCCTACGCTGACGTGTTTTACACACAATTCAGAGGAAAACAAAAATGATGGCGACCTCCAGATAGCAGAAGAGGAAGAAGAGGGGCTTCTTCCTCTCTTTGTTGTGTTTGGCTGAATGACAAAGGACACCATAAATATTTATTTTCCTGATCACTTTTCCTTGACTAGAGGAAAAATGTGAGAAGTTAGAAGAGAACAGACTACAGGGTGAACGTTGGTCTGCTGTGGTGACATTGCAGCCTCCTGGACTACAAAAAGCTCATCTTTCACACTGTTCCTGCGTTGGTCATACAAAAGAGGATAATAATGAAAAAATTTGAAAACAAATGGAGCAATCTCGGTCTCAGCAGACAGAGCGGGTCGCACACGGTGGTTCAATCCCTGGTCCTGCAGTGCATATGTTGCAGGCGTAGAATACAGCACTTTATGAATGTGTATGAACGAGCAAGACTGTAGCTCGTAGTAAAAAGTGCTTCGACTGCTCAGTGAGAAAAGTGCTATATAGGTACTAGTGCATCTTCCAATTCAATAACATAAATAAAAATAAATTCATCATCAAGGCTGGAATTTAAAAAAGGGAATTTATGACCTATAAGCAGAAATAATATTTCTCGCTTTCAGATTAGTTACTCATCGTGTCCAGTCATTTCTCTCTTCCTGCAGGAAATAATCACGTATAGCTTCTGCTTTCTGCACGTTCCAGTGACTCATGTCAAATAAAAGTAATCCTAAAGACTGTAATACAGCTGTTCTCTTTGATCCATTTAACACATATGGATTCATAAATACACTGAAGAGCTCCAGGGTGAAGATCACCTTTTCACGTCTCCGTGGATCAGCGGCTTTTCGCCTTCAGGGCGGCAGTGGAGAAACTGCAGAGCTTCTGATGCGTCTTTAACAACACTGACTCTCTGAGGCCACGAGAGCACCGCACACTCCTGAAACACACACGGAAATAACACAACCCTCCGAAACAAATAAACATTTGTAAATTATGTAGTGTGCAGGGTTATCCCCAAGCACTGAAACTCGGGTGCAGGAGTGTTTCTACAGAGCATCATGGAGAATGCACATGAAGAGGTAAAGGTGATTAATAAACACCACCATTACCACACCAAGCCTTTCATATTTATAATCACTTCCCATCAGTGGATCTTATTTATTTGTATATCACAATCTTTTATTCACATCTACTTGGAGCAACAGATGAAGGCCGATACACTGGGTGTATCAGGTTTCAGTGTTGCCAGCTTTCTTTCGGTAATATTGCAAGGATAATGGCAAAAGCCAACACTGAAAAGACCCAGCAATGACCACCTATGACACCCAGAAAGCACCCGAGTCCTGGGAAAACCTGGGAAAACCCTGGAGTTATCTGAGCCGTGTGCGTCTGTGTATGTGTTACGTTGTGCAGCTGGTCCTCCAGAGATCTGTTCTCCATGTAGCTGTAAATCAGACACAATGAACCTCCTCCGTCACTGAACCCTAAAAGATCCACAATGTTGCGATGTCTGAATCTGAGGAGGACACACACACACAAAAACACAAACAATAACAACCATGTGACTTTAATCAGAACAGATGAAATCTGCTGTATCTCACTGAGGAACTTCACCCACCTTGACAGTTGCTCCACTTCAGTCTGGAAGCTCTTCTTCAGCAGAGCCCAGTCCAGCAGCCCGTCCTGTCAACAACAGCAGCAATTCTGACCAATCACAATCTACTTCCTGGCAGTAAAATGGACCAATGAGAAGGCTTTTTCAGACAGTGAGCGGTCGACCCCTCTCTAATTATCAGTTTTTCTTTTAACTTTTCTAAAAAGAGCCAAAAGACTCTTTCAGACTAATTTTGTCTCCGTTTCCATGGCAGCAAAAACCTCGAAAATCACAGCCGTTTTTAAAAATCTGTCTGTGACAAACCCATAGACTGTACGTTAAAGATGTTGGCAGCTACCGTGACAGCACCCATCGGATTGTGAAGTCCGTTGAACCCTCGAGATGAGCCATTTTGCTGACACCATGTTGGTGTTTTGAAACAGGATGTGCACACTCACTGTCACACACATGTTGATGAGCAATGAGCATTTCCTGGAAAATCCTCTCTCACACTTAGAATGACCCAAATGTACAAAATGGACTCAATTTTTCATTAAGTGTGACTGAAACGAGAAGCTGAGATGATAACATCAGCAGTAAAGTGTCGACTATGTTCCTGACAGAGTTTTTTGTTCAACAGCAGCAGTCGCTCCCTGGTGGCCTTTAAAAATGATGCAGGCACCTCTACGATGGCTTCACTTTTTAGATCCAGAAGCATGTTTTGTGTGGAGACGGGCTTTAGAAGGGAACCACCCGACCCGACCACCATCGCAGGACTTCCAGTTCGGTCTAAAACGTCAAGCAAATGTAGGAGTTACCTAAACCGTCCTTCTAACAGCCAGCAGGGGGCGACTCTTCTGCTCTGTGACCTTTCGTCTTAACATTTTTGACTCAGTCACTAGTTCCAGGTCAGACTGAATAAAACATGAAGATCATTTTGTAAAATAAAGAATCAAAAAATACTCTAATTGGCTAACAACAACTCACTCATTAAAACGATTAGCTAGAGGTGTCGTCATGGGGACTTGACTAACCAATGGCCTGGAGGCTACATTCATCTTTTATAGGGTCTTGTCACTGTAGCTGTGACAAGCCAAAACAAAAGCCTGCACAGCCTTTTTGATCTATTTCCAACGTTTGTGTTGCTTAAACTTCATTGTTAATGGCCTGCAGGTGGCGACTCCTCTGGTTACATAAAGACTTAAAGGGCCCTTTCCTCAAAATAAAAGTGTGCAACGCCATTTCTGACTTTTTTGTATTTCATCTCATTTCCTTTCATTTCTTTGGTGCCCGACAGTTTTAACTTTCTAGCTCGAGCGCAGAAATAATCAGACGGTTGGGATCGTGAATACATTTACTGTAACTGCAGCGTAAACTGTAAGCAGAGATTTTCTGTACCAGTCCTGTTGCTGCCTGAAAACCGCTCGCTGTCTGAAAACCCCTCAAGACTGAACTGCATTGTGATTGGCTGACCTCTTTGAATTTCTTGACGGCGCACTTCATGTCCTTCAGAGTCGCTCTGTACACGACTCCAAACCCCCCCTCCCCTATCTGCAGGCAGGGGGAGAACCCATTTGTCCCAGCATACACCTCTTCATATGACAAGAGCATCACTCGGATGCTGCTGCTCACCGCCACCATCACCTGGGGCTGGGGGATGACATCACCACCATCATCGTGCTTTGTTGTAGTGATGTGTTTGTATTGATTGTTGAACAAACCTTGTGTAATGTGTGTGCAAGTATGCGTGTGTGAGAGAGAGACCTGGTGACGTTGTTGCACTTCAGAGAGTAGCCCCGGGGGGGGCGATGCAGGTCTGGGTAATGGACTTCGTCTTCCTTTATTTACAGAATAAAGTAGTGACATCATCAGTGTCACAGAACAAGCCGACCGGACATACGTAAATGTCTGTTTATGCTTGTGTTACCTATTGAGACCAGTCTACAGGTGTCCAGTATGGGTGTGGCCCCAGGCTTTTTGGGAGGGGGGACAAACTGAGAGTCAGAAAAAGGAGATGAAGAAGGAAGATGACGAGCAGGAGCAGGAGCAGGAGCATAGGAGTAAAGGTCCAGACTTCTCACCCCTGCAGACAGAGAGACAGAATGAGAAAAAGTCAGTCCTATACAAAAGGTTCAACTGAAAACATGGACTTCAGGCACGTTGCACTAACGTATAGTGATGAAGTGTTTTAAGAGAACATGATCAAACCAGAGACATCTTCAATACGCGTACAGGGAGGGGTACAGCACTGAGGATGCTGTGCTAAGTGTCACTCTTTTAATAAGCAAGCATTCAGAAGATTCAAAACCTTATGGTCAGATTCTATCTGCATTTGATTGTTCGTCCACACCCGCAGGTCCAAAAACTCTTAAATTTAGAAAAACCTTAATTATAAACTGGTTTTTATCCCTTTTGTCTAGCCGGTCACAACAAGTTAAACAATTCAATCTCCGTGAGTTCCCCTCTCCTTTTCACCTTGTATACTACTGGCTGTTGAGGTAACTGGACTAATTATGGGGTTATCAAATTCTCATCAAAGAATTTGATAACCCCGTTATTATTATATTATTATATCCTACATGCAGGTGACTGCCCGTCTTTATCCCACAGGGATATCAGTGATTACAAAGTGTGATGTAACCGTGATCGTCTCATTTTGAATAGTGATAAAACTGGAAAAAAATATGCTATTTGACCCTAAGGGTATATGTGCACACGACCCAGTGGCAATTGCTGTCTGTACAATAGAGCACATAAAAGTACTTGAGTATCTATATGGACAAATTCTTTAATCGTGAAGAATACGTTGATTTTTAAATGTGAAAAATTAGCTCAAAGACTCCACTGCGTTTGTAGACTCAGGCTGTTTGAAGTGAGCTCTGTGGTTATGGGTATTTTTTGTAATTCAGTACTTGAAAGTTTGATTAGATGTGAGATGACAGCCTGGTTTGGCTCGCTTACAGTAAATTCAGAGTCTAAGATTAAGAAACTGATAAAAACTACCATGAAAGGCAAAGGAAACAAAGAGAAACAGTTTCTCGAATGCTGCTTTGTTTAGCACCGTTTGTCCAAGATTAATATCTAATGTGGTATGACTACACAAAGATAAGAGGCAAGTTTATTCTTATCTTTGCATAGTCTTGCAGAAACATGAAAAAGACGACGTCTAGGT